CCCACAAGGGCCCTGCCTCTTCCCTGCCAGGCCCCAGCAGCCCACCCACTCCTAGGGGGCGGGGGCCGGGACTGAGCCCCATCTGGGCAGCTGACAGCCAGCAGGGCAGGCCCAGGACGGGAGACGGGACGAACGGGTGAATGAATGAGGTGAGAACAGACCCACACGGCAGTGGAGGGCAGCACCCCAGGAGTCTCAGGGAAGAGGCCCTCCTTGTAGATTGCAGGGCAGGCTGGGAGCCTGGCAGGTAGACCAGAGGCCACGTGGCTGGGACTGGAGCAAGCTTGGCCAGGGGCCCCGATGAGAGGGACCCAGCTGAGGGGGCCACCCGCCCCTCCCTGCCCTGCTGGGCCCTGGGCTTCCCCGGGGGTCACTGCCTGCCTGAGACCCGGCCCAAGGGAGTGGGTGATGGGGGACAGGAGGGGAGCTAGCCTCGCCTCACTGGGGGGGCTCCGGGGCGCGGGCCGCTGACCGATGCCTCTGCGGGCTTCAGGCAGGATTCCAGGAGAAAAAGAGAGAGAGATGCCAGGGGAAAGTCCATCCAGCCTCGGGCCGGTACAGACCCCACACCAGGCACAGAGTGTCTCAGCAGCTCAGTCCCGGGCCTGGCCCCTTCCTCTTAGTGGGGAAGGGCCCGCTCCAAGTGCTGAGGTCCAGGGTCAGCCAGAATCTGCGTGCTGCCCCAGCCCCCGGTCCCTGGGGCCTCCAGCCTGCCCCGCACGAGGCTGTGTGTGAGGTCAGAGCCCAGGGCCTCCAGCCCAGCTGCCCACCTGGGTGGTGGGAGGAACATGCCCGCCTCCTGTTCTTGTAGGGAGCCTGCCCCTCCTCGCAGACCCCCCCGCAGCTCAGCGCTGCCCACCACAACCGTGGGCCCTGTGACCACAGCCTGTATCCATGGCCAGCAGCACCGTCACCAGCAACACTGACCCTCGGGGCCACAGACTCCAGACCACGCACCATCACCACGGACCCCCTCGCCATCACCCAGCCAGCCCCTGCGCCCATGCGGCCAGTTACCGTGGACACCACCCTCACCAGCGCATCACCACTCAGCATCCCCCATCCCGTCCACACCACCTTCACCACCCAATCTTTGGGGGCCCTGGGTCTGGGTGTTGGGGGAACCCACGCCCGACTCAGCTGGACCATGTCCAGGGCTGGGGTCTCCGAGGGGCTCTGGGGTCAGGAGTCCCAGACCAGCCAAGATGCGGTGCCTGGGGCGGGGGCGGCAGGTGTCACTCTCAGAAGTAAGCACCGTGGGGTAATGAATGGCCGGTGGGAGGGGGCGCCGCGGTATTTAACAGCGGCCATCGGATCGTGCGGCTCAGCCTGTAACCGGCACATTATGAAGGCTAATGGATTTTTGAGGCCAGATTGATTTTTCATTAATTTGGTAAAAATCTTTTTCCTCTCCCCTATAATTCTGTCTTAAAACGCTCCTCCTGACAGCTCGATAAGTCACTCTCGCCTTAATGCACGTCTGGCTCGTCGTCGGGCGGGGAGGGTTGGGGGTGGGGGAGGCGGGGGAGCTGAGGAGGCTGGGGGGGCTGCCAATCATCTCCAGGTAAATACTGCATTATGTATGGCCCCTGGAGCTGTGGCCACCCCGGAGGGCTCTCTCCCAGGGTGGGCCTGGGCATCAGAGCCGCCGCCGCGGGCTGCTGACAACGAAGCCCACCTGGGGCAGAGCATGTGGGGGACCCCGCTCCCAGAAGGGGTGTCCTGCTGAGGCTCGCCTCCCTGGCCCCAGAGGGGCTGATGGCTAGTGGGACCCGCCCAGGACTTTGGTCCAGCCTCCTCCCACCAGCCTGGCCTGGGCACCTCCGTCCTCCAGAGAGGGCCTGCTGGCTGGCCCGGGGGGGGGAGTGACCACGTCCTATCCCCCCACCCGCTCCCCTGCTCTCTCCCCACCGTCTCCTCCTCCTCCCCTCAGTCGCAACTGTCTCCGCTCTGGTACATCGCCCCCTGCTCCCCTCCTCCCCCCAGGTCTCCAGACCGTCCCTGACCCTCCAGCCCATCCACTGTCCACCGTCTCCCAGAGCTTCAGGTAACCCTCCCACCCCAGGCCATGCCCCACAGCCAGTGTCCAGGACTAGTGGGTCCTGGCTTGAGCTGACTCCATGTCAAATCTGTGTGACCTCCTGGAATCACGGTCCAACCATACCTGGCCCGGGAGCCCCACGGCCTCAGCCATGCTCCTGGGGCTGACTCTCGAGGTGTGGGAGGGGAGGGGAAGGCAGTGGGGCGGGTGCTCCTCTAAAGGATCCAGTCTGCCGGCCCCGCCACGGCCCACACGGCTGGGGGAGGACCTGGTGAGTGGGGACGGTCCCTCCTGCCTCCCTGCAGCGGACCTGGTCCTCCGCGGCTGCATGTGTCCTGCCTGTGTGCACACACGTGCGTGCGCCGGAGCCTGACACAGGGTCTATGGGGCCGTGATGGGTGGGCTGACCTCCTGAGACATGGGGAGGAACTCAGTCGTGAGCTTGTCTCCTCATGAGGGATTCAGGACTCTCGGGTGACACGCTCCTCCTCCGGTAGAGCTCCCGACAGCCTCTTGTCACAGTCTGAGGTCAGGCAGGGAAACTGAGGTCCAGAGACATGTTCCCAGCTGCTTTCTCTGCAGTCTGGGAGAGGGTGCCCTCTGTGTGCCTGGGGACAGCCCCTCCCAAGCAGAACCCTAGGCTCCAGGTGGGTGGCTCTGCCCCATCCCTCCCAGCCCCACTGCACTCAGGCAGGTGAGGAGGATGCCCCCGCCCTCAAGCTCACACTCCTCAGGCAGGGAGGGTCCAGGCTCCCTGGAGGAGAGGTAGGGAAGGAGGAGGGGACGAGATGGGGGAGGAAGCGGGGTTCCCAGCAGTAGGAGTAGCCCATGGAGGGGACAGGGCTTGGGCCCCTGAACTGGCCCAGCTCGGGGTGGGAGTAGGGAACAGCCTCAGGAGGGGCAGGGCTGGGGCTGGGGGCCCCATCATCACTAGAGTGTATGCTCTGGGTCAGAAGCACAGAACTGATGGCCCCCGGCACCTGCCTGGAAGGCACGTGCTCCCTGGGGGGCAGGTAGGAGCACCCCCAGAGGTAAAAGATCTTCCCCAACTGGTCAGAGTGCTGGGTGTGCTTTGGTCAGTGAGAGCTCGGGCATGTCACTGTCCTCTCTGCCCTGCCCCCTCCAAGGGCCCCTGTGTCCCCAGGTGACTCTGGGCGCCCAGGGCTGGCCGGGTCTGCCCTGCCCCCTCCAAGCAGAGGGGCTTCTATGGAGGCAGATGCAGGTAGGGGCGGGAGGCCTTCTGGGCTGTCCCCAGGGGACTGTGGCTTCCTGGTGGCCCTGATGGTGTGTCTAAAGGCAATGCCCTGGAGCTCCCTCTCCTCTCCCTCACACCAGGAGGCAGCTGGCCACAGAGAGCCCAGGCTGGGCTGGAGGTCACTCAGGGAAGCTGGAGTCAACCCTTCACCCTGTCCCCTCCTCAGCCTGGGAAACGGAGGCGCCCAGTGGACAGTAGGGCAAAACCCAGCGCTCTCGGCACACGCACGTTCTGCCCTGGCCAGGCCCACCCTCACCCTGCTGGGACGACGGCACTAAGCCGGCGTCTCCCCGGGGGGCCCAAGCCCCTCCTGATGCATCCCCATCCTTCACCCTCTAGCTAGTGGCCACATGGACCAGCGAAAATTCTTATCTGCCCCGGGAAGCCTCTGTACCACCTCCCCCCTGTATCAGAGCACTCAGACCTCGACCTGGGCCATGTGCCCCATGAGCACCGTCAGCACCTCTGCTCCCCTTCCTTAGACGGTCCCAAATGGGTCTGTCTGCCCACATGGGAGTTTGGTGAGGTCGACTCACCTGCATGCCAGGTGAATGCACAGACCCCTGGCCATGGAGCAAGAAAGTGAAGCTTGAGAGGATGTGGCCACGGGGCTCTGTGCATGGCAGGGGCACTGGGCTGAACCTGGGCGGCCCCCCAGGCCCCATACCCCTAACACACACAGCCAGGGGGTTGGCTGGGCTGTCCTGAGGCGCTGACGTGGCTTCACACAGGCCCCAAGTGACTGCACAGTCCTGGGCCATGGCCTCAGCAGCCACGGGAGCACCATGCTAAAGACCCGGCTTCTCCCTTGCTCCCCCGCACCGTGCCTGTTCCTCGTACCCGCAGCCGCCCAGCCCAGGCCCCTCTGTGCCCGCCTCGATCCCCTGACAGGCGGGGTTGGCCCGGGAGCCTCCAGCGGGGCCTGGATCAATGCCGCACCCCAGCCAGAAGGAAGCCCGAGAAGCAGTGACCACTCCCACCCTCTGCCCTCTGAGGACACAGGAAGCGGCACTGCAGGGACCAGGTGGTCTGCAAGGTGGTGAGACAGCCTGAAGCCCCACCGCCTCCCGGGGGCCAGCCACAGAAGGCTGTGGGCCGCGTGCTCTGAGGACGAGGGAGGCAGGCAGGGGGGCAGGGCGGGTCCATGGCTGCCTCCTTCCCTCCGTTTCCAGCTGGACAGCCCCAAATGCGGCTGTTCGGGCCATTGTGCCTCAGCACCCCGGGGTGGGTGGGCATTCCAGGTGTGGGGTGTGTTTCTCCTGGGCAGAGCCCAGCACCCAACGTGGGTCATGCCCTATCCCACAGAAGGACACACTGAGGCCCGGAAGCGCGAGGATGTGTGTGAGGTTGCTGTCCCAGCTTCCTGTGGCCGATCTAATAAATGACCGTAACCTGGAGGCTTCACAACAGCAGAAATGTGTCCCCCCCCCAGTTCTGGAGCCAGAAGTCTGAAGTCAGGGCCTGCGGGCCCCACGGTCCGGTCCCTTCCAGCTTCTGGAGGCTGCAGCCTCTGCCCCCAACTCCACAAGGTTCCCCCTTCTGCCTCCTATGGGACACGGGCCCCGGGCTTAGGGCCTGTCTGCGTCATCAGGATGAACTCAAACGCAAATCCTTTACTCAATTACACTGCAAAGACTTTTTCCAAACAAGTTCGCAGGTTCCGGGTGGACGTTTCTCTTGGGGGTCACTCTTGAGTCACTGCGGTCAGGGAGCAAGCTCGGCTGAGGGCAGCTTCTCCAGCAAAGGCCCTGCCTGGGGCAGCACAGCGGCCTTGGGCTTGCTGGGCTCAGGCCTCTAAGGAAGGATGAGCTGACTGTAGCCCGGCCTCCTGGCCTTGGGGCCACCTGCACCACAGACCTCTAACCCAGCCTCCGGGGCAGGGCTGCGTGAACTTGGCTCTCCTGCTGCTTCTCGCACTTGCTGGTCCCCAGATAGCTTTCAGGGCATCTCACCACCTTATGAACCGATGGTGGGCTCCCCAAGGGCCGCCTCCCGTGACCTCAGCCCAGGGTCCAGGGTCCAATGGGGCGAGGGTGGGGTGTGGCATTGATCCAGGCCCAGCTTTGGAGGCTCCCGGGCCAACCCCACCTCTGAGGGGATGGGGGGCCCACTGAGGCTGCCACGGAGGCACCTAAGCTGAGGCGGTGGGGGTGGGGCGAGCTGGGTCATGGAGGAGAGTGAGTGGGGAGGGGACAGGGGAGCAGAGGGAAGGGGTCCCCCACCCTGCGGCCCTCGCCCTCCGCCCCCAGCTCTCTGGTGTGGACGGCGGGGCCCCGCCCCCACCCCGTGCCATCCCAGCCTGCACCTCCCACGCAGCCAGGGCTCCCTGCCGCCGTCCCTTTCCTCACATTAATCTCTGTGAGGCTCACTGCTGACCCAAGCGAAACGGAGTTTGCCTTTCCCCCTCTCGGCAGTTTTCTGTTGGCAAAGCAAAAAGGATCACAGCGCGCACTCACCCCCGACCTCCCTGCCCAGGGGGGACCACTCTGGGAAATGAGATGTCCCTGCGTGGGCACACCGGGCCATCCGCGCCCACATGCCCTGCTCTGGGTGCCCAGGAGAGAGGCGGGGTGCTGATTCCCACCCCCCCCAGGGCACACATGTGGGACACTCCCACCAGGTCCCTGAATCTTCCCAGGTATTCATGGAACTTGTAGAAGAGGTGGCGTGGTCCCTGCCTGTGGCCCATCTGTGACACAGACATGGGTGACGTGGTTGAGCCAGAAAGCGGGGCTAGAGCCCACACCATGAGGTGTGGCCATAGCTGAGGAAGGCCAAGAAGGTTCCAGCAGGACCGAGAAGGCCAGAGAGCACAGGCAGGGGCATGCGTGGGGCGGGTGGGCTCCCCACACACCTCGGAGCAGAGCGGACGGGCAAGGCAGGCGTGTGGACAGCCGCTCCGTCTGAGAAAGGCCTTGGTTAAGGAGGGCTCTCCTGCACGTGACCCCGCCTCCAGCAGGCGCCAGACGGCCCCAGGGCCTCGAGTGTTGCTGCTGAGCTGCCACGCGCTCAGGCTTGTGGAGCGCTCACTCTCCGTGTCCCCGCCAAGGCCACCCGGGTGGGGTGCGGGCCAGGACTGACCACCGGGGCAGAGCTGTGGGTTCGGCTCGGTCCTTGACCTCATTCCCAAGGGTTCCACTTGCTTCCAGCTCAGCTGCCTGGGTGGCCTGGGGAAACGCTGGGGCAGGGGGGCGGGGGGGGGGGCGACAGGGTGGTTGGTTCCTGCCTGCCGAGGTGTGGGTGGACGCAGGGTGACACCCCCTCTCAGAGCCCAGAAAGACACTGGCAGGCCTCTCAAGTGGCCAGGACATGCGGGCTGAGCCTCCCAGCTGGCCCTGCGTCGCTCACCGCGTACTTCCCTCTCTGGAAAAGGGGTTTGTCGCCGCCCGGGCAGGGGCTGGGGCTGGGGCTGGGGCCGGGGCCGGGGCCAGGAGAGGTGAGACTCCACTTGATGTCCGTCCCTGCCCCGCCTGGGGTGAAGGGTGGGCCCAGCACTGCCTCCTGCAGCCCAGAACTTGACCCTAGGAACACCCAACCCAGGGGGTAGCACCTTGGCAGCGGGGCCTCGGAGACCCCACTGGGGAGCTCTAAGCGCGGGCCGCCCTGACCACTCTTCGGGAGAGGGAGCCTGGTCCCAGCCCCAGCGGCCCCAGCTGTGAGGAGCCCCAGGCACGGGCTGGAGGCCAACGGCGAGGGCGGGCACCACGCACTGTGGCCCCGGGGGGGCGCGTGGTCTCTGCCAAGGGCCCCCTCCCCACCAGGCAGGTGCAAGAGAGGGGCGGCAGCTTCTGACCCCAGCCCACGTGCCCCTCTTGGGTCCGGACTGGCCGCCAGAGGTACGGGAGCCGAGGCTCCCTCCTGGACGAGACCTGCCAGCCCCGTCATCCCTGATTAGCGGGTAATGGCCTCCGTGACGCACAGTTTAATTAATCGAGTTAGTAAGTGCTGAGGTGACCTTGGCTGGTTCTGCTGCGAGGGGCGTTCTCCCAGGAGGGGCAGGCGGCTCGGAAGGGACGCACCTGGCCGCCCTCGGCCCAGGCTCGGGCAGGCGGGGAGCCCTGCCCTCCTCCAGAAGGCTGCCCGCCCCGGCGTCCGGGGCTCCGCGCCACCCCGACTCAGCCCACCCTGCGGTGAACACCGCGGCGGGACGGCGGGGACCAGCACAGCACTGCCCCCGCAGAGGGGACGGGACGCGGGTGCAAGGAGGGGTGGGGCCCCGGCTCGCAGGTGGGCCTCGGCGCTCTCCCGCGCCTGCGGCCGTCCCTCCCCCGCCCCCCAAGCTGCCTCCAGCCGCTGCTGGCGCGGGCAGCGGCCGCCCCCTGGTGGCCACGCGGACTCCCGGCAAACCCGGCCCCCAGACCCGCCCGCCGCTCCTCGGGGCTTCTCCCCTGTCCGGCCCCGCGCCCCCACCCCTCTGCAGACCCAGGGCCCCGCCAGGGCGGACTGAGGGGAGTGCGGGGGGCCAGGCCTGGCGGGAAGCACAGAGGAGGCCTGGACAGCAGCCGCGGGGCTGGGAGTCAGGCAGGATGGGGGGACCGCAAGAACTGAAGCAGAGGTGACAGCAAAAGGCGTGGCGGGGGTGGGCCTCGCTGGGACACTGCCCAGAGGGCAGGCGATGCGGGTGTGGTAGGCAGCCCAGAGCCCCGTCTGGCCCCTGGGTGCCGGGTGGGCTGGGCCAGTGGAGGGGTAGTGGAGGGCCCAGCGTGGCTTGGGGCCAACCCAGCCCTGAGGTAGGGTGTGGCCAGGGTGTGGTCTGTTCAGGGGCAGGGGGAGGGGGGTGTGAGGAGGATGTGGGCTGCAGGGGCTCACTGCCAACCTACTACCCGACCCTGCCCCTTCAGCTGGGGGGCTGCCCTCCCCAAGTGGGCACTTGGGGCATATGTGAGGAACAGGCAGCCTCGAGGCAGCATCTGGCATCTGGGACTCAGTGCCCAGAGCAGCTGTGACTGTGGGTACAGCGCCCGGCCGCAGCACTGGGCTCACACACACCTCATGTGACATGGTCTTTAATGGGCAGCTCTAGGCACTGGGTGGGGCAGCCAACTGGCCTGAAAGTGCCTCAGGACGGAGGAGGACATACGGGGGGTGTGGGGGCGCTGGGCTCCCAGAGGGGGAGGGTGGCACGCAGCTCAGGGCTGTGGGGACAGCCTCCCTGTGGTCTTGGCCTTGCGGCTCCAGCCAAGGAAGCACCTGGGGCTGGCCCGTGCAGGAGCTGGTGTCCCCCACCCACACTCCTTCTGGATCCTCAGAAGCCCTCCCAGGGCTGGCCGGCGGTGCCCCTGCAGCCGGGATAGAAAGGGGTCAGTCAGCACCTCTTGCCCAGCCCGGGGAGTGACCAGGGCTGGCCTGTCAGCGGCGAGCTGGGGGTCCCGTAAGGACTGGGTGCCACGCTGGGGTGGGTGAAGGCCACGAAACAGCTCTTGCAGCAGCGCCTCGAGCCCAAGCGTCCAGGGGCGTGGGCACACAGAGGCCCGCAGAGGGCAGGGGCCGCTGCCGCCCAGGAAGCCACCCCTGCAGGGGTCGCCCACGTGCATGCAGCCTCCTCTTCCCCATGCCCTCTGGGCATCTGGGGATGTTGGGGCCCCGTGGGCTCACCGTGCCAGGGGGCTCCGCCCTGGGCAGTAGCGTGACCACCTGCAGGCTCACACCCTCGTCACCCACGCCCTTCAGCCGCGCCACCACCTCGGCGTGCCTCCACCACTTGCAGGGCTGCCCATTCAGGGACACGATGTAGTCGCCCTCCTGCAGGCCGGCTGCCTGCAGGGAGACAGGGGAGGTCTGGGAGTCCCGCGCGGGCCCCCGCTGCCCCCTTTATACCAGCTGCCTGGGGGTGGGGCAGGGGCCTTACCGCGGCTGGGCCCCCCGGCATGACAGCGGCAACGAGGACAGGCGCGTCTCCGCGCAGCGTGAGCCCAAAGCCGGCCTCTCCGCGGGTCACGCGCATGGGCCCGGCCAGCCGCCAGTGGTTCTTGGCCGAAAACACTGACAGGGGCCCCTGGGGGGCGGTGCAAAGGGGGGTCAGCTGCTGCTGGGCGGCCACAGCACCTCCCCCCTGGGTCAGAAACCAGGTGCCGCAAAGGGACTGGGCAGGGCCGGGCCACCTGCCTCAGCCCGCCTGTGCTGAGGCGGGGAGGGTGACCTGGGCAGGGGCTGCTCACCAGCCGCTGGAAGATATCGGTCACCTTCACCCTGGAGAAGCTGGGCGCCCTGATCTCTGGCTTCTGCTGTGTTTTAGCTGAAAAGAGAAAAGTAAAGGGAGGACAGAGCTAAGTCTGAGGCTCACAGATGCTCAGGCCCCCAGATGCAGGCAGGACCTGGGTCAGCCAGAGCAGAGTGCGCAGCCCAAGGAATAGCCTGCTTGATGCATACCGGCCCCTCTGCAGCCCTCTGGAGCCTGAGTGCGCCCCCACCCCGGGGGGCCCCCCCCTCCAGCCGCTCCTGCCGGCTCCTGCAAAGCAGGGGATGCCGGGGGGCTGGCCTGCGGAAATCTGCCTCCCAGGCCACGGCTGGCAGCCTCCCGGGGCGGGAACTGGCCTCAGGGATGGCGAGACGAGGAACAGCAAGGGAGCAGGCCCACTGGGCTCCTCCCAGGGGCTCGGCTCCTTCAAGGCCCACGGCTCCGGCTCCGTGGGCTTTAAGGGCAGCGACAGGGCCTCAGCCCACGGATGCCTGCAGGATGGACACACCCGTCCCGAGGGGCCGGGCAGCTCACGCAGGATGTCAGGAGCCTCCGCGGTCTCCAAGAAGTCGTCCTCCTGGTCGAGCTCCGAGTACTTGGCCAGCGAGCGCTGCAGCGCCTGGGCCAGCACAGCCTGTAGCAGGTCCACCCTGCGCAGGGCCCGGCACACGGCGTGCAGCCGCAGCGCCTCCTCCTGGCCCAGGATGCTGCGCTTCAGGTGGGCCTTGCCTGCGTGGGACGGAGCGGGGACATGGCGCCCTGTGCTTCGTGGGGCGCAGGGCCCTAAGCCCACCTGGCCCGGGCCAAATCCCAGTTTCCCCCACCCCTGGACAGGTGAGGGCTTCTGGGTCCACCCTGCGGGCCTGCTGGCCGCGCTACGAGGAGTGGCCACGTGTGGAAGCCTGGGCCAGGGAAGGGCTGCGTCCCGTGAGTGTCTGCACACACCCAGGCTACCGCCTTGCGAAGGATGGGGCGCTCTGTCCCCCTCAGCAGGCACCCTCCCCACGAGGCCGCCTCACCCAGATTCCTGCGCTCCTCCTGCTCCTGAGGCAACACAGCGCCCCACGGCTCCGACGTGGCCGGGGGCCCAAGGAAGGCCTGCGGCAGCACTGGGAAGTCCTCCTCGGCTGCTGCTGGGGATCAGAGAGGACTGTGAGCCCCTCTGCGCTGGGGCTTGTGCCAGCACGCAGACGGGCAGCCAGGGCACTCACGGGGGCTGTCGCAGAGGGCCACGGCTGCGTGGTAGTGGGCCAGGGCGCAGAAGTACTCCGCCTTGACGTGCACCAGGGTGGTCCAGGGGAAGGGCACATAGTCTCGGACAGGTGGCTGGGTCATGGTCCGATGCACCTGCCTGTACTCAGCTGCCACCTGCCGGTGCACGTGGTGGGACACTGAGGTCTCCAGGATGAGCCCGGGGGCCTCAGCCCCTGCCCTTCCCCACCCTGGGGCCTGGTCTCTACCTGCCCTGACCCAAGGCCCAGGCGTCCCGTCCCACACCCTGCGCTGAGCCAAGCTCAGGGCTCTGGGCCCGTTTCTGCTCTGATTGGTGCTGCCCCAGTGGCAAGGACTCAGGACCAGCCCCAGAGACGAGGACAACAGCTGGCTTTGGGAACTACCAGGAGACCCAGCCACTGCACCCCACCCCTCCCTGCATGGACCTCTGACCCAGGCCCTCCTGCTCATCCAGCCACCACGGCTTGGCCAGATCTCCCGTAGGACAAGGGCTCCCTTTCCTCACCTGGGCTGCCTCCTGAGCCAGGCGTAGCTGGGCCAGGCAATCCTGGGGGGCTTCAGGAGACGGCAGCAAGAGACCCTCAAAGATGCACTCTTGGGCCTGGGCAGTCATGAGTCCCTCCAGCATGGAGAGTGAGGCTGGGCTCATGTCAGGGCTGGGTGCTCCAGAAAAGTTCTCCCTCAGGAGGCTGAAGGCCCCTGCGGAGGGGCGCTCACAGCAGGTGGGCAGGGCGGCCCGGCTGCACCCCCACAGCCCCGCATCCCCCAGGAAGGGAGATCCCCTCACAATGGGAGCCATCCCACCGCCCCCGCCCCGGCTCTGGCCCCAGACATGTAGATACATGCACCCTAACTGTGGCTGTGGGGTCTGGGCGGCCCTCACCAGCAGCCTTCTGAAAGGCCTCGATGGCGCGCCTGGTGCCCTCGGGGCAGGAGCGGTCCTGGCGAGCCCCGATCTGGGTGTGGAGGGCCCCAATGTTGAAAAGCACACTGCCCTTCTCGAAGGCCAGGGCCCGCTGCTGGGCCGGGAGGCCCGTGAGCGAGTCGTACCTGTGGGTTGGGTGAGGCTGGGTGGCGCTCCCACAGCAAGCAGCCGGGAGTCTCAGAAAGGGCTCTGGGGAGCTGTCGGTGCGAACCACGGACACCCACCCACCACAGCCCTACCAGTGGAAGAGTAGCCCGAGGTTCCCGGGAGGGGCGACGAAGCGTGCGTCCAGGAAGCAGAGCTGGTTGTAGTAGGCCATGAGCAGCTCCAGGCCCACCTCACTCCGGTTGGGGGTCCGAATGGCCTGCAGGGTAGGCACCAGCTGGGCCCCAGCACCCCAGGCCCAGCCCATGGCATGCACACCCCCCCTCGGGGAACTCCCTTGGACGTCAGAGCCCCACGGGAGTGCGCCAGGGTCTGGGGTGGGGGTGGGGGGACAAGGTCACGCTGACGCACATCAGCCCTCTCTGGGGCTGTTGTGGGCCCCATCCTGGGCATGGAGCCTGTGAAGAGCACAGGGAGAGGCCCACGCAGGGCCCCTGGGAGGGGGTCGGCACACAGCAGCCATTCCCAAAGGGCCCGCAGCAGGTGGTGAGGACAGAGCTCCCCTAGTGGGCACAGAACCACTGCGTGCCCTGCGCGTGCCCGTCTCTCCACTGTCCCCAGAGCTGCCCCAGGTGGGGCCTCCGGCCCGCTGAAGGCCTGCGCTCGGCTCCTTTTTTCTGTTCCTGACTGAGCCTCGGTTGCCCTTATTTGTGAACTGGGAGTGGCTGGTCTCCCAGGTCTGGCAGGGCAGGGAGGGGAGGGGAGGGGAGGGGAGCCCACCCACCTGCCGCAGGTCTCCCAGCTCCTTGATTTCGGCCTCATAGGAGGCACTGTCCTCTCCAAAGTGCCCAGAGATCAGCTCCTGGTTGCGGGAGGGGCAGGTGCCGGCCTCCTCTGGTCACCCAGCCCCACGCGGGCAAAGACAGGTACCAGAAGGGAAGCTCCAGGCCCCTGGAGAAGGGCTAAGGACTGGTGTGGGGGGTGGGGGGGTCCGTGCCCCGCAGACACGGGGTTCAGAGGTGCAGAAGCCCTCGCTAACCCCTGTAAAGCAGGGGCTCTCTGCCACCTGACAGGCGAGGTGCCTGCTGGGCAGTGGCTAGCCGTCCCCAGGCAGCCTAGCTCACGAACCCCGAGGAGATTTCCGCAGCAGAGGCTCTGACTGGAGGGGCCCCCAGCCGGTGGGGTTCTCAGAGCGAGGGTCAGGGAACCCTGTCGCCATCTCAGGCTTCCAGCAGGATGACCAGCTCTGCCGTGCCCACCCCATGGTGGGGGCTCTTCTCCAAAGTCCCCCCAACCAGAAGCTCCTACAGCCCGGGCAGGCTCTTCCTCCCTCTGGACCTCTTTCCCCATCTGTTCAATGAAATGGCTGGACCAGAAAGCCTCCAAGATCCCTGCAGACCCCAGGGCAGGGTGTGACCCCAGGGTCATAGGTCAGCACTTACCTTCAGCGGTGTGGACCAGTCCAGCTCCTTGGTCTCCTTCAGCCCCAGGGGGATCATAGGGACAGTGATACCTTCACTGGAACCAGAGCCATGGAGCCCACACTCTGAGGTGGGACCCTGCTGTCCCCAGGGGCCACTCCCTACTTCCCCAGCTACACGGAACCCCTCTCCTCTGACTCTGATTCGCGTCTTGCACACACAGCCCACAGCACACAGACGCGGCTCTGGATGGTGTCCTCACACGTGTGCACCCACTCAGCCTCTGACCTGGAGTCCATGGTCCCACACGCACACACGTGCAAGCGCACACACACCCCTCAGGCCGGCCGTGTCCTTGCACGCGCACACACGCACCTCTCAGGCCGGTCAGCCTCCACGCTACTGCCGTTGAGCTCCTCCAGTTCCTCCTTCAGCAACTGCAGGCTGGAGTTGACGTAGCTCAGCTCCAGGGCCACTGTCTCCCTGACCCAGGCGTTGCTGGTGGCTCTGGGGGAGGCCAAGGTGAGCTGAAGCCCCAGCTCTGCAGGCGGACTGCACACACCTAGGCCTCGCCACAGCCCTTGCCCTGGCCTGGGCTCCAGAGGCCCCTCCCAGCATGCTGTGCTCACAGGCCCAGCCCCACCCTATGACCTCCCTCTTCTCCTGAGTCCCCCTACAGTTGGTGTCGATTCCTGTCCACGCATGCAGACAGTGCCTCTGGCCCAGGGCACATCAACCCAGATCCAGACCTTCCAGGCCACAGGCTCTCGCCTCCCACCACCGCTCTCCCTGGACGCCGGCCTCCACAGCAACACAAAACCAGCTTTCCTGGAAAGGTGGGGGTCAGACCCTCTCTGTGCCTACATCTGGGCACCTGACAGAAGGGGCGATGGGTCCCCAGGAAGGCCAGGATGAGAGCAGGAATGGGCTGGACAGGGATGCAGGATGACTAAGGAAACGGAGGAGCCCCCTGGGCCCAGCAGATCCCCATCCCAGAACCCTTCGGCTGGCTCTGCACACAGTGGCTGGGGCTCTGACAGGTCGGACCATCTTCCTGGGCCATCACCCACAGAGTGGGCTCATGCAGACATGGGTGAAGGTCTGAGCAGATGTGCGGCTCACTGTTCTAACGGAGAGGCACCCCTTCAGCCCTGAGGACACTTTCCCGGGTCCCCAATCTTGGGACACCTGTCACAGCTCAGCCTAAACGGTGCCTGCAGGTCACCACATACAAATCAGAGGCTCCCACACCGCACACCAGCTCCCTCCAGCCCCCATGGCCCTTGGCTGACCCTGAGCTGACCCCTACCAGTGAGGTCCACCAAGGTAGGAGCCCAGGTGGTCTGTGAGGGTTTCAGTTGAACGCTGCCCTGAGCCTGGTGAGAGGCCCAGCCCTTCCTCCTGGGAGTCTGCAATGGCCACTGTCACCCGCTCACACGTCCCTCTCCCAAACCAGACCATAAGAACGGGCACCGACCCGGGTCACAGCATGGGCCGGGCTTGCAGAGGGCCTCAGGGGACAGTGGCGCCGCTCTCTTAACGGATGGGGGCGGTCGCCGGCACTCACCTATAGAGGTTCTCGGCACCCGTTCGCATCCGCAGCTCCTTGGTGATCTGCTGGTGGACCCGGGCCCTGCGGCTCTGAGGGTGGCCACGTGGTATCTGGGCCAGGGGGTCAGAGCCCTGTGGAAAGGCTGCAGGTCACAGGGCCCAGGCCTGGCCTCTGCCAACAGCTCCCAAGTGCCAGGAGACTCTCATGGGTGGGAAAGGCGCAGTCCCCACAGTGGAACCTGAGCCAGCTCCACAGAGCAGCGGGGCGGCTCGGGCCTGGCTGGGTGCGCGAGGACAGGAGGGGGGTATGGCCAGGAAGAACACAGCAGGTGGGGGACATGGCTGGGACTGTGGCCCCCGTTCTGTGGGGCCGGCACCAGTGCAACGGGGCTCTGGGAGCCCCGGGCAGGAGGTGGCCAACTGTTCACCACACAACCTTCGGCACTTTTTTTTTTTTTTAAGATTTATTTATTGGGACGCCTGGGTGGCTCAGTTGGTGAAGCGTCTGCCTTCGGCTCAGGTCACGATCCCAGGGTCCTGGGATCGAGCCCCACGTCGGGCTCCCTGCTCTGTGGAGAACCTGCTTCTCCCTCTCCCTCTGCTGCTCCCCCGGCTTGTGCACATGCTCTCCCTCTCAAATAAAAAAAATATTTATTTGAGAGAGAGAGAAAGGGAGTACTTGCACGCACGCATGGTGGGGGGGAAGGGGCAGACAGAGGGAGAGAGAATCTCAAGCACACTCCCTGCTGAGTGTAGAGCCTGAAGCAGGACTTGATCTCACAGCCCTGAGATCATGACCTGAGCTGAAATCAAGAGTCGGACGCTTAAGCAACTGAGTCACCCAGACGCCCCCCTTCTGCACTTTTGAATTTCATTCCATAACCTCCATAACCAACTCAACCCACACAATTCTAGCATGAGCTTAGGCATGGCCATGCGGGGATGACCTAGCCCAGCTTTTGCCAAGGTGCTAACGGAAAGGGGCCTGCCTACAGGGTGCCGGAGGCTGGCTTTCCAGCCCACCTGCTCTCTGGGGTGCTCGGCCCACGTTGACCCTGGGATGGGCTCCAGCCCAGCTAGCTATTTACTTGTGGGGTCCCTTTGGGCAGAGCCCAGGGCCGCTCAGCTCATAGGCAGCAGGCCAGGCCCTCTGGCTGCCCACTGCCCACCTCAGCCATGGCTCCTCGTTATATGGGGCAATCCTGCTAGCTGCCCACATCTCGGGGCCCCGGGCTAGGAGAGCCGTGCAGCAGTGAAAGCAGAGATGTGAGGGCCCCCAGCCACAGTGATGCTGCAGACGGGTGACTGGAGGCTCCAGCCAGGGGAGGTAAGGGGCTTCCATAGGAGCAAGGCCTGGGAGCTGGAGCAGCTCTTGGGCCCCAGGCCACCACGCCTCCTCCTGGCCATTTAGGGACCTTCTGTTTGGGACAGTCACCAGCCCTGGAGCCAGGAAGAACTTCTCAGAATGCACCTTCCCTGGGCAACATCCCCAAAGACGGTCACACGGCCCCTGAGCACAGTGGGGATGAGGCCAGCGCCTCCCTGTCCTGATGCAGGGACAGAAAGTTGTCCTCACGCAGTGCTGAGGCCAGCCTCCTGCAGTGTCCACCATCTTCCACATATTGGAGGAAATGTGGCCTGTTTTCCTTGGCGTGCCCCCCCCCCACTCTCAGGCACAGGGAAGTTTCAGATCCTTTGGGGGCTAGATCTTGTCCCAGTTCCTCAAAGAGGGCACCTTAAAGAAGGCCTCACACCCTCCCACAATGAAGGCTCCTTCATGGTGGTGCATGGCCACCTTCGATTATGACTCAACATCTCCCCCACACTCCAGCATTCTCAAGAGAGATCAATCAGGGAAGACCTCCCTGGGCAGCGTCCCCTCCAGGAGGCCTGAGAACCTGGGGAGGGAGGAGCACACCACAGCCAAAGCTACGTCCCTGCCTTCCGGGGGTCCAACTGCAAAGCTCCAGCAGGCTCTGGGCCAGCAGCCATGTCCATCTGCCTGGGGAGGGGGTGGTCCATGTGCTGGGCAGAGAAGATCAGCTAAGCAGGGCTGTCTTCATCAACACCGTTCATCTGGCCTCCGATGTCCGGTGCTCCTGGAGAGATGTGCTGGAACGGGGAGGCCTGCAGCCTCCGAGCCAGAAGCTACTCTGAATCCTGTAGCACCCCTCGTGGGCCTGGTATGAACACGGGGTTGGCCTCTTGGTGACCCCCAGGGAACGCCTAAGCTCCAGGCTACAGAGAGGGGCAGCCCCCTCCTTCCCAGCACAGACTCCCCAGGTCTCCACCTCCACCCACCCTATGCAGAGCCTCCCCAGTACTCCTGGAAATGGTCCACAGTCCTAGTCAGCGCCCCAGGGTTAGGGACCTCAGAGGGGGAGGAGGTGCGTGGGGAGTGAGAAAAGGACAAACTGCCCAGCTGTGAAGTCCTGCAGCCATTTCCTGTTCCCGGGAGGCTCCGGCTGCCTGCCTGGGGCGGAAAGTTTCATCAATTACAGAGCCAGGTGCCCAGGGCAAAACTGAGCAGCTCTGGGGAGAGGGAGCGAAAAGCTGGGAAAGGAGGAATGACGGGCTCCAGGAACTAGCACGAGGGCCACGGGCTGTCACACACCAGAGCCCAACACCTGCCCTAGAACGGGGCCCCGGAGCGCCCCCCGGAGCGGCGGAGAAAACGGAGCTATACTTGCGCTCCCACCCATTTCTGGGCGGCACAGGATGAGCCCCAAACCCGCAAAAGCGAAGCCCAGCACAGGCACGCAACGCGGGGTCGGGCTCTGCACCGAGCCTCAGTTTCCCCAGAGATAAGCCCGGCTTGCCTCTAGGGGCGAGTGAAGCAGGGAGCTGCCACAAGTCTTGCCGCGCGCTTAGACCTGAGAAGCCAGCGCCGACTCCGCAGCCCCGCGCCCGCCGGCGGCAGGTGGCGGGCAAAAGCGGGCTGGGGGTCCCGGACCCCTCCTCCCGGAGACCCCCGCCCCCGCGGACGTGCCCACCTTGCGAACGCTGCCTGCCTCCTCCAGCCTCGCGCTCTCCTCGCCGGCGCCCGGGCCGTCCGGCCTCTCCTCGGGGATCATCGCCGCCCGCCGCTCGGGCCGTGCCCGCCTGGAAGCCGAGGCCGACGCAGGTCCCTCCCGGGCGCCGCGCCGGGTCCCCCGCTCTTCTCTCCTCGCGGGTGGCGGCCGCGGGCCGGCTGAAGGGGCGTAGCGCCGAGCCGAGCGTGCGAAACTTGTCTTTGCCCAATCGGCGGCCGCGACGGCTCCAACGAACAGCAGTCACAGCCAACCAGAGCGCGAGGAAGGCGGGCTTGGGTGGGCCAGGCCCCGCCCACGCGACCGTGGAGTCCCAGGGGAATGCGGTCGTCCCTGGCAACCGCCCGGCCCGACGCCGCGCGGCCGGGCGGGGCGCAGACTGCGCATGCGCCGCGGCATCCGCTGTGCGTGCTGAAAAGTTAGAGAAAAAGGAAAGTTAGAGAAAAAGGAAAAAAGCAACTCCCAAACGCAGCCAGCCCGACCTTCCCGGCGCTTGCGTGCTCGGCTCCGTGAGCCGACTCCACGAGCTTGCACCGCGCGGTTGGGTCCCACCCACCCAGTCAACAGGGCCCTCCCAGGAGCTTGTCCAAAGAAATGTTCGCAACGGGGTTTTTAACGGGTGTGTTAGAGCGAGCGCTGGTGCGAGTCCTTCGTCAGTGCCCGCTCTCTTCGCTCGCAGACGCAGGCTCGGCCCTGACCCAGCCCGGGTGTCGTCCACGCGGTCCACTGTCACGCCGGCAGAACTCGCTTCCAGAATCTTGCTTCGAAACCCTCCCTAGAACCCGACCCGGCAATCTGCTTGCAGAATCGTCTTCCACAAACAACTTGTAGAACCAACTTGGCCTCCAGGACCAGCCTGGCCAGAGGAACTGGCCTGCTTCCAGAATCAGACTCTGTCCAGAGCCTGCACTCCCTGAAGGGCTGTCCCAGCAATGGACCTCCACGCGGGTCCCTCCATAACTTCCCTGGGTCCCGGGTGGCTCCGGAACACACTCAGATTTCCTGCGGGGCTCGCCTCACCAACGACACACCTTTTGTAGGGGCAGAAACACCAGTGCATAAGCAGTAACCAGGCCAGTGTTCATCAGGCTCGTCTGAAGTTCCAGCCTTCCCATCCTAACCACTGGCCTGGGTCCCTGCGGTGTCACGGTGCTGAGCCATGGGCTCGCTCACCCGCCACATGCACGCGGAGGCCTGCAGCCCAGGGAGCTAAACCCTGTAAGCTAAGCTTCCTGGCCTGCCCTGGACACAACATCTGACACAACAGTAGTAACAAAACAAGACAGGGAAAATAAAAAGTAATCACAGAATATTACCTGACTCAGCTGTGCATTCCTTTTCATAGCCGTAATAATGTAATCAGATGTCCTCCTGGCATCTTGACCTCAGGTCCATTATCACTTGATTCTATTAGGAGGAGGGGAGAGGTGAGGGTGGAGGGAGACAGGGCAAGTGGAGGGGACAGATGCTGACATTTCATCCTCCTGAGGCTGTCAATGAGTGACTCCGAAATTAGGAAACAGCAGAAGCATGTTGTTCAGAACTGTGGGATTCAATACCACAACTCACCAACTCCAGGGGTCACAAGGGGCTGCCCCTGGGGAGGGGCAGCCGGGCTGGGGGAGGTTGCTGCTTTGCTAAGCAGTTCTTGCAGAACTATGTGGTTGGTGAACCTGGGCACCTTCAATAATAAAACCATCCCAAAGCTTGCTTTTTAGAGAGTGAATGTTTAGAAATTGGCAACGGAAAATAAAACCATTTGGAAGTGAGGAGATATTTCTAAAATAAGGAAAGTTAAAATACAAACTATACCTAAAACATAACTAGGAAGTAAATAACATGGGATATAAATATAATATAAATATATATTTATAGATATAATATAAAACGTATGGAATAAACCAAAGGCAATTCTGTAAACTTAGGTGAGTTTATTGCCTATATGTAGCTGTGTGTATACATATATGTCTATATATGACATAAATTCACCAAATCAAAAAAAAGTACAAAGAGAAAATTACTAAAGATTAAAAGTTGGCATCAGTCATATAGCAAAAAAGCTGAGTGGGAACAAACAAAGTTGATAAATCCTTGAGAGGACCCATCAGTGAAAAAAGAGATTGTATCAACTAGGACTGGCCTCTGACTGCATGAGATCCGGACACAGTTGTTTAGCCACAGGGAGTGAGACATTTATTATTTGTCCCCAGGCCACCATTCCGAAGTGCCCCCTCCCAGGCCCCTGTCCTGTGCTTCCCATCTCGTAATAGAGACCGGTTACTTCTCCTCAGTGTTTCAGGGAGGAACAAGAGAAAAGAAATGTCAAAGAGGAAAGCACAGCATTCCCGATTCCTTCCTGTCAGCTGGGAAGACAAGAATGTGTTTGGGGTGACCGGGAGTAGTGGCTGTCTCAGAGAGAAGATACAAATACACCATGTTAAGGCAAAAGAGGATTAAGCAAGCCACGGGGAGATTCTACAGACTCAGAAAGCATTATGAATGTAAACTGGAATATCTAAAGAAAATGGTTGATTCTGTATCAAGACTTAAATGATCCAAGTTGACCCAAGAGAGTGGAGAAGATAGGAGCAGACCAGTAGCCATGGACTGAACGGCTGAAAGCGGCTCCAGACTCTCACAGGCACGCGGCGGGTTTCTCCAGTTGGCTGGGAACACATGCTTTGCCCGCTAGTCAAACAGGCCAAGTTACCAAAGGGGAGCTGGTCCCCGACCCAGCTCGCCAGGCTAACTTGCCAGGTCTGATGAAGAGAGGGCCCAAGACACCGTGGATCGCTCCCATCAACAAACATAAGCTGCAGATTTTGTGGGTGGCCTGGCCCCATCTACTTGCCCCACCCCTATCAGTAGAGTCTCGTTTGGCTCCTGGGACCACTTCCTTTGTGAAGCCACATCCTCCAGGGAAGGGTGGCCAGGCTCAGCCCCAGAAGGTGTAGACTGCTGCTGTATAACCAGAGGGAGTTGGGGCCATGGGGAGGGGGTGCTGTCAGAGGCCGGGGCCGTTAAGCGGCCTCAGTGCCTGGGCACAACACACAGACTCACTGCCCGGACGCCTGTAGGACACGGTGATCTACAGAGGTCCCCGCAGGCCTTCTGCCAGTGACTGATCTGCACCCAGAGGCTGAGGATGTAGTGGGTCAAGAGAGGAGTCTTCAGGGTACGCTTGGGAGAGCCCCACTTCTGGATGCTGTCATTACTGGGCGCATCACCAAGAACTGTGTGGTCATCTTGCGATGAGGGGGAAAGCACAGACATACTGAGGGTGGCAGGGAATCCTGGCCCTTCTCCTCCTCTGGTTTCTGGCTTGCTGATATAACCAGTCTCCTCTCCATCCCGGTCACTCCAAGTTGGGCTTTCTGATGCTTGAGCCAAAAGTGTCCCAACACAACACAGGTACACCACTGGAATATAAATAAAAGCAAATCAGATCCAGCAGTGTGCTAATGCATAATTTGCCTGACCAAGTAGGTCTCACATCAGGAATCCACCAGCCAAGGTGATCTCAGATTTACAGAGGGGAAGCCGTGCAGGAATCTCCATAGGCCCCCAACACATCTGAACAATTCAGCCACTATTCTTTTTTTTTTTTAAAGATTTTATTTATTTATCTGAGAGAGAGAGAATGAGAGATAGAGAGCACGAGAGGGAAGAGGGTCAGAGGGAGAAGCAGACTCCCCGCTGAGCAGGGAGCCCGATGTGGGACTCGATCCCGGGACTCCGGGATCATGACCTGAGCCGAAGGCAGTCGCTTAACCAACTGAGCCACCCAGGCGCCCCAGCCACTATTCTGTGACAGATTCTAAGTACAACAGAAATGGAAGGGAACTCCTCAGTTTGATAAAGACAATGTATCAAATGCAGACAATGAGTATATTACATATTGAAATCTTAAAACCATCCACATTTAAATCAGGAACAAGATATGAACGCCTGCTACTACCACTATTCTTCTGCGTGGTTTTGTAGTTCTCAGTTAAGGAAATAAAATAATAATAATAATAATAATAATAATAATAATAATAATAATGCAGGAAAACAAAATCTTAGGGAAAGGAGACAAAATTTTCTTTATACTCAGGTGACATGATTGCATAATTTGAAATCCCAAGAATATCAGCCAAAAGAACTATCAGAACTGATTAGAGAATTTGGTAAGGTAGCTAGTTTTAAGCTAACTGTTAGGGATGGAACTGTGTCCCCCCTTCATATGTTGAGGCCCTGCCCCCAATGTGACAGTGTTTGGAAGGAAGGTTGGGGGGATGGCTAGGCTTAGGTGAGGCTGGGGGGTGGGGCCCCACAGCAGGATCAGAGCCCTTGTAAGAAGAGAAGCCAGAGCTTGCAGCCCCCAGCAGGCAGGCCCATGGCAGGAAGGCAGGCCCTGCAAACCAGGGAGAGGACCCTCGCTGGGACTGAAGCAGCGGGCATCTTGATCTTGGACTTAGCCTCCAGAACTGTGAGCAAATAAATTTCTGTTGTTCTAAGCTGCCCAGCCTGTGGTACCATGTTATAGCAGCCTGAACAGATTAAGACACTATATAGAGACCAATTACTTAAAACACACACACACACGACTAGAAATAGAAAAATAGAAGTTGGGAATATTTTCAGTCACAAATCTGACAAGACTATCTGAAATCTAGGAAGAAACTTAACATGAAATGTACATGATCTATGAGATGTATACAATTTTACTCAGCAATTTAAAACCAGACTTGAACCATGGTTGGACATACCGTACACCTTGATGAAATATGTACTTACCATAAAAATGTCAACTCTCCCTAGAGGGGCTTAAAGATTTCCATGTAAACAAGCAACCTGCCAACCATGTGAGAAGAAAAAGGAGACAATTCGAATAACCTCAGGATTGGAGGAACATTTTACATTGAAACAGAAAATCCAGACACCATAGAAGAAAAGACTGTAAAATATCAAGATTTAATGTTTCTATCTAACAAAAGACATCAGGAAAAAGTCAAAAGAAGAAGAGAGAGGAAAAAATTGCAACACATGTGATAAAGGAGTGA